AGTATCTTTGCCATGATGGTCCCCCGCCTGGAGCTGGACTTCCCTCTACCCAGCTCCTTATGTCACTGGCTCAAATCCCACCTCCTGCAAGAGCCCAGTCCTGACCCTTTGATTTAATGCCACACCTGACCCTTCCAGTTACTTCTTCTGTATCCGTCTGCCTTTTCCCACTAGAATTAGTAAGGACAAAAAGCTTCATCATGTTCACAAATGTATCCTAAGTGCCTATGTCAGGGCCTGGCTCTCAATAAATATTTCAGTGAGAAGCCTCACCATCATCCTGAGAGGTGGGCACATTATCATCTCCAAGTTACAGACTGGGAAACTGAGGCCCAGAAAGGTCAGTTTTAAAGGTCACACAGAGCCAAGACTTGAACCCAGGGGTCTGAATCTAGGTCTGTGGTTACTTCTGCCTTATCCTGCTCAAGTCTGGGGTAGAAAGTACAGCCTGGGCTTCCAGAAAGCTCCATACCCTCTCCAGACTATTACTATAAAACACTGAGTCTGCATTGTGCTTGGAGAGGGTGAGGAATTGGCAAGAGCATGCCAGGTCTTATAAATCCAGTTAGGGAATTTGCACAAGAAGATGGTACCAGGGTAGATTTGTATTTTTGGCTTTTAACTGAGTCATTAAAATTTTGCATAACAACAGGGCACCATGTGATACTGGGTACATGTATACACTATCTAATGTGTAAACCAGGTTCAAAAGGTCTGTTTCCTCCAACATTTATCATGTCTCCACAGTAGAAGTATTCACTAGCCTTTCTTCTATCTTTTTGAGATACACAGTCCATAATAGTTATCTAAGTTCACCCAACCATGCAATAGCACCCCAGAGCTTCTTGCTCCTAACCAGCACCAGCTGATCAACCTCTCCCATCTCTACCTCCCCATCTCCTCCCCCAGCCGCCTGAAACCACCATTCTACTCTCAACTTCCATGAGATCAACTTTCCTGTGCTAGAGAGATCCCACTACAGCTGGACATGGTGGCAAGTGCCTGTTTGGAGGCTGAGGCAGGAGGATCACAAGTTCAAAGCTGGCCTCCACAACTTAGCGAGACCCTAAACAATTTAATGACACCCTGTCTCAAAAAAAAAATAGATAGATAGATAGATAGATAGATAGATAGATAAAAGGAGTACTCCCCCTACAATGTGGAGAGTGGAAGGGTGGGATCTGGCAGGGAAATCAGGGGCTCAGGTAATGGTGACCTCAGCCAGGGCAGTGGTTGTGGGGATGGAGGCAGCTGCCCAGCAGAGATTTCCGAGCTGTGACTGATGGGATTTTAGTTGGGAGGAGAGGACTCATGGTTGTGTGGTCTGGGTTGAAATGGGTCTTTCAAACATTTCAACCATGAGTTATTAGAAGAACTGCATCTCCCATGTTGATGCAGAATAACAGAAAACACACACACACACACACACACACACACACACACGTATGTTACACGTGCTCAATGATAAAATACAGACCCTTACTTTGTAAAGTTCTCCTCCCCCACCCCAGTCCTGGGAACTGAGCTTCATGCTAGGCGAGCGCTCTACCACAGAGCCACACTCCTAGTCCTGTAGTTTCTCGTCTATTTCTTGTTTCTTTCTTTTCACCACCCACTACACTGATCTCATGACAGATTCTGCCTTAGAGAGAGATTGGAGACACCTTCGCTGAGACTGGATCACACCAGCTCAGGCTGTCAGGTGGGGTCTAGAAAGCCCTGTGTCCCCAGATCTCTTTTCCCAAGACCCAGAGTCCCCTTTCGGCCCAGCACTCAGTCCTGTCCTGTCAAACTCCCCAGTCTGCTCCTCACTCCTGCAGGGAAAGTTCTGGTACCTTTCAAGGTATTGCTTAGCACATATAGAGACAGGGCTTGGCAGATTGAGGGAAGGGTTGTCTCCCAGGTACAGAGTTTCAGATTTGCAAGATGAAAAGAATCCTGTAAACAGATAGTGGTGACGGCTGCACAAAAATGTGAATGCACTTTATCTACTAAACTGCACACTAAGAAATGGTTAAGACAGGAAATTCTGTGTTATGTATATTTTGCCACAGTTTTTTTTCTTTTTGCTGTACTATGGGTTGAACCCAGGGGTGCTCTACCATGGAGCTATACCCCCAGCACTTTTTATTTTTCTATTTTGATACACAGTCTCACTAAGTAGTTGGCCTTCAACTTGCGATTCTCCTGCCTCAGCCTCCTGAGTTTCTGGGATGACAGGTGTGCACCACCACATGAGGCACGACTTTAAAAACCTATGTGTAAACTAACTCTTTAAAAATGTCTGGTGTGTTGTTCTGGAGATGAAGTCTGTGGGTGGGAGAGTTCTGGATGACTTAGATCCAACCCCTCCAAAGCTCAAACTTCCCGCGTGGTGTCCATGAGTGGTGCATGGCCCTGGTGGCACAAGGCAGGCTTGGGGCCTCAGCTTCCAGGGTTCCTCCTCAGAGAGCCTTGCTGGCCCTGCTCCCCCACACCCTCTTTCCTTCATAATGTCCTCTTTCTCCTAAGCTGTGGTATCTATTTCTTGGTTTGTGAGCTTTCTCTCTACTTCTCCACTAGACCAACCTCCCCACAAGGCCAAAGCAATGTCTTTTGGATTCAGCTCTGTCTACGCAGCTTCTGGAAACTGGTCTGAGTTTGCTAGAGGCCAGAACAGACTCCCACAGACTGGGAGACTCACACAACAGACTTTCATTTCCTCACCATTCTGGAGGCTGGAAGTCTGAGAGCAGGGTGAAAAATTCTGGCTTTTGAGTAGTGGGACAGTTCTCTAGATGAGCTATCAACCTCCCAAGTCCCTGCCAGCTTCCACTAGTAAACCCGATTCTGCCCCTCGGGGTCACCCAGCAACCCAAACACACGTGTGAGTGCATGAGCGTGTGTACACACACACACACATACTCACACACTCTACATTATCTAATGTCCTCTTGCCATCTGAGAGCCTTTTTGAAATGACTAAATTGCTGGTCTCCTTCTTCCAGTCTGACATCTAGAAATGAAGCATTACAATAATCGCTGCCCCCAGACTTTGCCATCAAAAAATGGGGGGTTCTGAAAGAGCCTCTAGGCCAGGAGGGAGCGGTGGCTGGCGAGGGAGGTGTCTAAGGGGCATGATGACATATCACACAGAGGCTGAGATTTGTCCTTCAGGTGCAAGATAAAAAATAGCACGGATCCAATCCCCAGGTGTTAAGGACGGATCCAAATCCAATCAATCTTGACTCTTATCTCTAATTTATTCTGTCTCTTCAGAGCCACACAAACCCCCATCCGCCTTCCTCCTAGCGAAATGTCTTCTCCGTGTGGCAGGAGGGGGCTTTGCCACTCTATAAATACACAGAATGTCTGATTTCCTCCTTTGACTCTGGAACCTAAACAAACAGATTAGGTTCCAAAAATTCCATAAAACCATAATTTAGTGGCCACAGCCCTCCTAAAGAATTTCATTCTAAATATAGAGAGGTATTCCTCGGCAGAAAAATATCCAGCTCCTTGGTTCTAATATATAATTAAATCCTCTAGATACTTTGCAGTTATGTTTTATGGCTTATTTTGAGTGTTCATATTTTATCAGAAAATTATAATTTTCCTCTAAATAGGAGTTTTTACAAGGCTTTTGAATTATGATGGCTGGCTTCATGTTTCAACTATAATTAAAACAGTGGAAAGAAATAGCGGAACCGTACAGCACCACGTGGTCCTGCAGAGGGCTGGGGCCTGCATTTCAAACCCTGCAGTCCCTGCGCTGGGGACACTCCAGCCAAGTGTGGGGCAGCTGGCTTTAGCAAGGAATGAAGGGCCTGGGAGAAGGAAGGAGGAGTCCCCAGGCCCCTTGGCAGGCTTGGGGCCTCCGCTCCCAGGGTTCCTCCTCAGACAGCCTTGCTGGCCCTGCCCCCCCACACCCTCTTGCCTTCATAGTGTCCTTGCTCCTGAGCTGGGATAATATCTGTTGGCTGGTTTATGAGCTTTCTCTCTACTTCTCCACTAGACCAACCTCCCCACAAGGCCAAAGCCATGTCTTTGGATTCAGCTCTGTCTACGCAGCTTCTGGAAGCTCGTCCGAGTTTGCTAGAGGCCAGAACAGACTCCCACAGACAGACTGGGGGACTCCCACAGACGCTCATTTCCTCACCATTCTGGAGGCTGCACGTCTGAGAGCAGGGTGTGGGCAGGGTTGGTGTCATCAGTGACGTCTCCCCTCGACTTGGGGACGGCCATCTTCTCCCTGTGCCCTCCACCTCTTCCCTCTGCGCATGGCCATGTCCTGATTTTCTCTTCTTATAAGGATCTTATATTGGGTTAGGACCCCACCTGAATTATTTTACTTCAGCTGCCTTTTTTAAAGGCCCTATGTCCAAACCCAGTCTCGTTCTAACGTTCTGGGGATTAGGACTTCAGTAGGTGAAGTTTTTATGTGGGGGACACAACTCAGTCTAAAACACATTAGGCATTCAGCGGATATTTGTTGATTGAGGAGATAAATGAATGAATGATGGAACAGACACACTGCGGCAGACATGATTCTGGAGGGCCCTTCTTCCTCCCCTCCCCTCTTCCCTCATCCATTCCTCAAGGATCCAGACACATGAGTCTGTCCACTCTGGGTCCAACTGACACAGCCCACAAAATCCTTTTCCACGAAGCTCAGACATGAACCTCAATCCGACACATCTCCAGGAAGACCACCACGTCTAACCTCAGAGGACCTCCTCAGCAGAGAGCAGCAGGACACAGGGGCCACTGAGCTACTTCTATGGTGATGACCACACTGTGACAGGGCAGATCTGGGCCAGCAGACCTTGCCACCCGCTCCCCCTGGGCCTCAGCTGTGGATCATCGTCCACAAGCACTTAGAGTTGTCTTCCATATCCTTGCAAGGGAAACCTCCTGGTCACTGATGAATTGTAACCAGCGTGTTGACCGTGAACTTGTATTGCCTCCAAGGTGGCCTTGACTCCCTGGGTCCTAACCCTCTGCTTGTGGCTTTCCAACAGGCCACGAGGTTGGAGCCCAAGTTGGTAGCCAACAGCATTCTGTTCTTACGTGACAAAAGATGGGAAGAGATCAGAGGCGTCCTGACTCCTGCTTTCAGTCCTGCCAAGCTGAACGAGGTAAGACACAGGAAATGCCCCTCTTCCCCTGAGGAATGAGCTTCTCCCTCCCAATAGTAGAGAGCCCGATCAGGTTGCATCACCGGCCCAGGTGGCACATCCAAATGCCCTACTCACTGTGGCCTTCACGCCCCTCTTTCATGAGAAAGCTCAGGATACTGTGCTATGCGTCTTCCATCTCCCCAGCCGCCGTAAATCCATCAGTGAACAGTGAATGCCAGGGCGCTCTGGCTCTGTCCCAGACATTGCTGGATGCCTTCAGGAGAAAACTGGACCAGTGCTTCTCATACTCCCATGGACAATGGATCCCGGGGGAGCCTGTTAACATGCAGATTCTGCTTCAGGAGGTCTGGGGTGAGGTCCTAGTGTGTGGCTTCAAACAGCCCAATCCCCCAATGAACAGCAAGCACATTGCACAGAGCAAGGAAGTAGACAACAGCCTGAGTCAAAGGCAGGTGCTGAATCACATCGTAGGGAGGTGAGGGCTGTGGATTCTGGGGAAGGAGGATGGAGAAGTTTCCTGGCAGAACTCTAGGTGGGCAGCCATGCCAGGGTAACCTTCAAGGCCAAGACAGAGGGACAAGTGGACTCCACTCGGTGCTCCAGCTCTTTAGCGCCCTGGGTGCTCTCCTTTCCCAGCCCAGTGCTGCTCTTCCCTACCAGCTGTGCAGCCAAAGGCCTGGGTCTGCACGAACCTCTCAGGCAACTCATTATCGCCTGCTCCTGGTCCTGGGATTTTTGTCTGAGCCTGATGGATTGCTGGACTGACTTTGGTGTCTGTTGTTGTGAATTCTGCATTAACTCAAGAGTGAGAACTCAGACCCTTTTGATGTGGGGTAGCGACTGGGCTTCCCCAAACTGACTCCAGGTCCGGGGCAGCTCCAAAGCAAGTGACAGTTTGGGTGGCTGTTCTAGAACACTGGGGTTGGAGTAGCCTGTCTTCAGTTTAACACATTAAAGCTCCTCTTAGCTCAGTCTGAAGATGCTCAGCCACAGGGCCCTGAATTCCTATGAATCTGAAATCTTCCCAAAGAGACAGGGTTCCCCGCTTCCTCCTATGCAATTAAACACACTCAGGAACTAGTGAGCCTGACAGTTTTCAATGAAGTTGGGGTTTTTTTTGGAGGGGGTGGGTATCAGGGATTGAACTCAGGGGCACTCGACCCCTGAGTCACAACCCCCGCCCTTTTTTTTAAAAGAGAGAGAGAGAGAGAGAGAGAGAGAGAGAGAGAGAATTTTTAATATTTATTTTTTAGTTTTCGGCGGCCACAACATCTTCGTTGTTATGTGGTACTGAGGATCGAACCTGGGCCGCATGCATGCCAGGCGAACGCGCTACTGCTTGAGCCACATCCCCAGCACCCCCCCCCATTTTGTATTTTATATTTTATTTAGAGGCAGGGTCTCACTGAGTTGCTTAGGGCCTCACTAAATTGCTGAGGCTGGCTTTGAACTCTCAATCCTCCTGCTTTAGCCTCCTGAGCTGCTGGAATTACAGGCGTTAATCATGAAGATTCGGTTTGCATTTTCATGATCAGCCTCTGCTGCTTGGGGGCAGAACATGAGCCATTTGTCCCACTAGCTCGCACTCACCACTCCAAGGGATCCCACGTTTATGGACACACTGCTGCTCACGACATCCCTGTGAGGTGGATACTACTGTCCTTGCCATCCCTGTTTTACCCAGGAGGAGACGAGGCATGGACAGAGCCAGTGCTCTGATCACACAGCTGGTGAGTGGCAGAGCCAGGGCTAGAATCACATCGCTTCCGTGTGGCTGCCTCTCTGACCTAGGGGGGTTGAAGCCCCTCTGACTGTCCCAGGGGGCAGTCTGCAGAGAGAGGCAGTGGAGTCCTTGGGCTTGTGGGAGCTGAGGGATCACAGCCTGCTTCTCCCTTTCTAGCCTAGGTTTGGAGCTGACTGAGGTATGGAAACAGGTTTCAGGCAGAGAAATCAAATGCCCTCCTTCCCTACTCACCTTAACTGAGTGAATGCAGCCTCCTATGATCTGGTGGGTTTGCGGATCCTTCTTCCAGAATGGGTCCACTGTACCGCTACCCGTGTGGGGGTGGGGGAGCCCGGGCCCACACGTGCTCAGTTCCTTCTTCCCAGGCTCAATTGGATAAGAGGATACAGCAAGGAACAGCCATCCTGGGCCACGGGGCCCATTGCGGTCACCTGGGGAGCTTGGAAGCCCACTGTGGCCCAGGTCCCCCTCCTAGATATTCAGATTGGATTGGTTGGGTTGGAGAGGCAGCCCAGGCTCCAGGAGCTTCTCCGGCTCTCAGGTGAGGCTAATAGAGAATCAGCACCAAGCAACGCCATCACTAGAGACTTCCCACGAGACGAGAGGAGGGGAAGGAACTTCTGCGTTCACTGGGGCGATTGATCCTGCTCCACATTTATCTCTTATCGATTGAGGTCCCATGGAAGAATTTATTTGAAGGAAAGGACTGTTTTTTTTTTTTTTTTAAATGACCACTGTTCCACACCACCTGTATCAAATCCCACCACTAAAACCATGAGGGCACGGAAAGGTGGGGTGGGGGAGGGTGACCTAGGACTGACAGCAGCAGTTCAGCATGACGTCTCATCCGTCTTCATTCGTCAATAAGCAATGACTTCACAGCACTATAGATGTTCCTCATTGTGTTAAAAAGAAGCTGATAGAGGGCATGAGGGAGAGAGGGAGAGAGGGG